AAGAGAAGAGAAGAGAAGAGAAGAGAAGAGAAGAGAAGAGAAGAGAAGAGAAGAGAAGAGAAGAGAAGAGAAGAGAAAAGAGAGGTCAGGCGCACACACACAGACACATGCATACTGGATAAAGCAGAAAAGGGCTACACTGCTGGGAGCCTGCCCAGCCTGCAATGGACTGAAGGGGAACACAGAATTGGATGTAGAGGTAGCTTTAAAGACTGATGGTCTCTGGACATAGTTTTAAAGACTGATGGTCTCTGGCCTTTCAAATCTAACTATGTTGCATGCTGAATGCTACTGGTTTCTACAAAATCCTGATAACTTTCTTGCTTACCAGGTTAAAAACCTGCTGGCTTGGGCAATAAATACCTGTAGCCTAACAGTGGGGAATTAAGTAAAGGATTAATTGCTAGGGCTTTTTTCTCTCCTGCCCAGAAACCATGTGGGAGAGAGGTTTGGAGCAATAAACTTTTATTGAACCAGGAAAAGGAACTTGCAAAACGAAAAAAGTTTTACACAAGCAAATATGTATAAACTCACATACGTTCATATACAAATTTATGCATGCATAATCATATACCTTCATACAAGCACGGGGAAGTCCTTGCGACTTTGGGCTACTACTACAACTGAGCTATGTCCCCAGCTGAATAACCTTATTCATATCATCTCCTATTTTCTGTGCTTAGACTCCCTGCCTTTTGCTCATTGATGTGCTGGAATCTTCCACTGCATTATTGCTGGCTACACTAAACGTGTGTTAGAGGCTGAGAATGACAGAAATTAGAACCAGCATCATTGTGGTCTTGGAAGAGTCCTGATAGGATAAAAGCAGGTAGGAAGGCCGAATCCAAATAAGGCTTAGGGCCTGTCTCCAGAACTATCTCACCAGGGGTCAGGCCCGGGTCAGGGCGGGGTCAAGCCCAGGTCACACCCAACTTCCCCACTGGCCCTAGCATCTGGGATGGGCACTAGGGCAGTGAGGATCTCCTCTGGGCCCGGGCCCCTACTCTGGCCCCTGCTGTTACTGCTGCCCCTGAGCCCCAAGGCCGGTTCTGTCCCAAAGCCTAGCATACCCAGTCCTTCAATGGTTCCTGGGATAGCACCAGGAAGACCGCAGCCACAGCAGGGCTGGGAACCGTTGGCCAGCAGGAACCAGGATCCTGCGAGCAGACCAGGTCTGTTTGAAAGGCAGTGGGCGGGCAGTGAATGGGTGGAGGCCACAAAGTCCAGGTAAGGCACCGGAAGTGGTTTGCTTTTTGTCTTCCCCTCAGAACCAGGTGACCCCAAAGAAAATATCAATCAAGGGGCTTTAGGTTCCTACTCAGGGACTGACTCTCTGCCCTAGAGCCTGGTGTGGTGCCATGGGACCAAAAAAGTGTTCAAGGCTGTCCCAGTGGTGATAGTAGAGAACATAGGATTCCTAAGAGTAGGGACAAAGAGAACAAAGCTCGCTAAAGCTTAGAGTGCCCATTCCTGGGAATAGGCTGGGAATAGGTAAATACAACCTGCCAAGATCCAGGGCATTAAACCATGGCATTGAGCAACTAACATTAGTAACCCATGAGACTTCTAGTTCTTTGATCTGAAAAGTAAGTATAGAGCTCTGTTGTTGAGGGAGTGAAGTCCCAGGGCCTCCCATCTGTTCATCTACCCTTGCCAGGACCACTTAAAGATGGACTGTTGTGACCACCCTTTTATTTACCCCCATCCCATCTTCCCAGACTCCTGGGCTCTTGCTTCCGTAGAACCATTAGCTGAACTTTTTATGTACAAGGTGATAGCCAGTAAAAGCAGAGACAAGAATCACCCGAAGTCATTCACACAAGTCACTTGTCTTTTGCTATGGTCTTCAAATCTGTGAAGTGGAGGAGGAGCCTCCTTGTGGTATTATTCTGCCCCTCAGGGACTGTATCTCTAATAGATTGCATGGGGGGTGTCTCCACAGTGTGTGGGAAGCCAAAGATTGTTGGGAAAGTGTTCGGTGGCCAGGACACATTGGCTGGCCAGTGGCCATGGCAGGCTAGCCTGCTGTACCGGGGCGTGCATCTCTGTGGAGCTGTCCTCATCGACTCCCACTGGCTGGTATCCACAGCCCACTGTTTTCGAAAGTGAATTTGCTTTATCAGGAGCCTCTGGAGAGGGATTGGGTGTTAAGAAAGATGTAGAATGTGAGGAGGAAGGTTAGAGATAGTATACCATTCCCCTCTGGGCTTTCTTTGGGGTAGTTTACTTCTATTAAAGACACATTGGTCCTTCCTTGACCCACAATTCACTCTTCCTGTATTATCCCCCATCATCAGAATTTCCTTCATCTGCCCAGGTCTTCATTATCTTTCATTCTTAGTTCTTGTAGAAATCCTTATACTCCCTTTCCATGTCTGTTAACACAGATGTTTTCCAAGAGGACTGGCCATGCTTTGATCTCTACTGGTAGACTTCAGCTTATTTTCCCTTACTCTCCTGTGAGCCAGGTTCTAGGCAAAAAGACTACATATGACTAGCAGCTAGATGATTTCTTACCAATTTTGTAAAACTGAATCCTGAGAAAAAAACTGTGGTCATGCTTATGCCATTATCAGGCTGTATGGATGGGAAATGAAGGCCCCTGGATCTGAAAAAAATGATATGGGCAGTCAAGAGTCTACTTCCTCTGGCTCTCTGGAACCTGACTGAGGGTCTAGCTTCTGATAAGATATGGAGGGACACAGAGGGAATGGGTACTATACAATCCATGTCAGGGAACTGAAACTTTGCTTATGGATTTTGAGATTCTAGCTTAATTCTGTTGGCAACTATTCTGCACTGAATTTACCTGAGACCCTTTAGGGAACAGAATATAGTAGCTTCCAGGTCAAGATTTCTTTTTCTTTAGAAGGAACAAGCTTCAATTAGTATGATACAGGTGAGACTTGCTAAAGTGTGTGAGAAGGGCAACCCCAAAGAAGATAGGTCTATAAAGATGCTGCAATCTGGGAGGAGGGCAAAGGAGTTGCAGAGGCTACCAAAAGGAGGGACCGAGTATATTGAGTGGGTGAAGAGTCTCCTGGTGTGGGAGCTGTGGGAACAAAGCTGCTAACATAGGCTGTCCTAGTCACAAACAAGGGAAGCTTCCCTTATATGTATGTGCATTTACTAAATCCTATATGAATGCTTATTACCAAGTGGAGAGGCAATCCATTGCAAAAGGGTCAGGAAAAGATGCAGATTTCCATCTCCATGATCAAATAACTTAGAAAATGAACAAAAAGAAGGATTCTTTTGGCTTATGGTTTCAGTCTAAAGTTAGCCATTTCTTTTGAATCTATGAGAACACAGTTCATCATAGCAAGAACATATGATGGATAGGGCCTGCTGATCTCATGGTAGCTAGGAAATAAAGATAATAAAAAGAAGAAGGACTTCAAGGACATTCTAATGACATAGCTTCTTTTATTAGGTCTCACTTCCTAAATGTTCCGCCCTTTCTGTATAGTACCACAGGCTGATGAGTATGCCTTTAGTTATTGACTTAGGAGACATTTAAAATTCAAATTGTAAAATTAACATTTGTCATAGTTTTTCTTAAGTTAAAAAAAAAACATTAGTTTGATGTCTCTATCAAGGACCCTCCGAGTGCTGGAATTCTTTGTTCTTTCAATTGTAAGATGTAATGGGGGAATACTTTGTCATGAGGTTTGAGTGGAACATCCATCAGCCTGCAGAAAGAAGGCTCCTATCTTAGGTACTTTTCTATTGCCATGCTGAAACACTATGACCAAGGAAACATAAAATAATTGGAGGGCTCACAGTTTCAGAGGGTTAAAGTCCATGACCATTAGAACAGGGAGAATGGCAGCTAAAACAGTAGCTAATAACTTACATCCTCATCCACAGACACACAGGGGAGAGAGAGAGAGAGAGAGAGAGAGAGAGAGAGAGAGAGAGAGAGAGAGAGAGAGAGACAGAGACAGAGACAGAGACAGAGACAGAGAGACAGAGGCCGAGGCCTGGGAATGACTTAGGCTTTTGAAACCTCAAAGTTTACCACCACCTCCGAGACACACTTCCTCCATCAAGACCACATCTCTTAATCCTTCAAGAGTTTCACCAAATAGGGAACAAACATTCAAATATATGAGCCTATGGGGGCCATTCTCATTTAAACTACCATATCACTTGACTGTCAGAAAGGGGGAGACCAAGCTGAATGGAATCAGGGCAGAGTAACCAGTGATACATGAGAGTTCAGGAAGACAGGGTTATCCTCCCACTCAAAGATAATGGTGATGATGGGATTCTTTATCTTTCAGCAAATCCCAGGCCCCAGAGGACTTTGAGGTGCTGTTGGGGAATAATCAGTTGTACCAGGAAACAAAACACACTCAGAAGGTTTCTGTGAACCATATCATCAATCACCCAGACTTCGAGAAGTTTCATTCTTTTGGGAGTAACATTACAATGCTGCAGCTGCGTCTACCAGTAAACTTCACATCCTATGTTGTACCTGCCTGCCTCCCATCTAAAGACACACAGCTCTACAACCACACATCCTGTTGGATAACTGGCTGGGGAATGCTTTCTGAAGATAGTAAGGGAAAGAGAAGTTGGAGAGGGAGTGAGGGTAGGGAGAGGAGGAAGATCAGAGGTGCATGAGGAGGAAGGAAAGAGTGACTCAGCAGGAAAGAGACCAAGGCTGGTTTTTGAAGTCACTGGATATTGCCTTCTGTATCTCACCTCTATGGCCTATGACATGAAAAGGCCATTCTAAGGTCCTTCTAGCTCTGAAAGTATGAGAGTCCACAGCCACAAACTCTCCTGAAGCTCAGGTTCTGAAGGTGGGGAAACTGTTGACATTTACCATAAAAAATCTGGGCTCCTTGAATATTAATGATCTTTTTATTCCAAGATTTTAATCAGTCACAGATGTGAGGAAACTTGATTAAATTCAAAGGTCATGTGTAGCAGCCAACCTATTCCATGTTAAGTCAGGTTTCCAGCACTAACAATATACCCAAGGTAATCAGTTATAAAAGAAAGGTTCATTTTAGCTCATAGTTTCAGAGGTTCAAGTGCATGATCATTTGGCCCTGTTGGTTTGGGCCAGTGGTGATGCAACACATTGTGGTGAGGAAATGTGTGTTAGAACAGTGATGTATACCATATGGTGGTCAGGAAACAAAGAAAGGAATAGGAGAGGCCAATGTACTCATACCTTCTTAACAGATGCACATGCCCAATGACCTAACTTGCTTTCACTATGATCTACCTCTTACCAGTAGGATATTCTATGACCAATAGTGTCACAGGCTGAGGGCAAAGCCTAAAATACATTGGCCTCAACACTCTATCCAAAGTATAATACATGACATGACCGAATATCTTGGTAAGTACTTGGGTAAAGTGGAAAGTCACATGTAATGTGTGACCACTGAGAACGAATGATTGAGAACTATTGTAGCTCTAGAGTATTTAATCTCAATTAATCTCAGCTGGTTCTCATCCTGTTTCACAGTCTTGCCAGGTGAATTACATAATGGAGAAATTTTTTTTGTTTGCCTGTTTGTTTCTGGTGTTGGAGATTGGTCCCAGTATTTCATTCATACTTAAAAAATGCTCTACCAGTGAGACACTAAACACACTTGTTTTTATTATTTTATAATAAAAGTGGAGCCTATGCAGAATCATACCCAGAAGAATTTATTAAAGGGTTATGACTTGAGAAATATACTTATGGAATAATGTAAATGAAAAATAATGTAGATTTTTAATTGTAGGTTCATAATTTGGTATATTTCTTCTCAAAAGACATACTTTGGGTGAAAGAGAAAAATGTGTCTTACTGAGGAGTTTTGCTTAGTTTTAGCATCCTCGTCCTTGTCCAGTAAGAAATCTCTCTCTCTCTCTCTCTCTCTCTCTCTCTCTCTCTCT